ATATAGATACGTATATTTGTATTGATTCAACAATGAAAACCCGAAAAGTGTGGTAAGTGAAGCCAAATAAGCCAAAAAAAACCAACATGACTTGCTATTCATTTGAGTATTTTTACCAAGTTTCTTATCAATCGTTGTTTTACCAATCAATCAATTGTATATGTATTTTTTTTATCACTATCAGTTTAATTATTAGGTGAAAAGCATTTCACAGTTTAAAAGTGAATAACTATTTTCCTTAAGAGAATAATTATATATATATATATATAAAAATACATCCAATACACATCCACACTTAAAATCTAAATAAATAAGACATTTTACATAAGACATAAAAATATATAAATCAAATCATTCACCATTAAATCAATCATCTACATGGATTAACACTCGTTTTTATAATAACACAGATATTCAAAACTATCAAACAAAATAAAGCTAAGCCAAACAACACTGAAGCAAGATTTTTTCCCCCTTGGTTCACTTTCGTCTTTGAGTGAAAACAATTCCATGCATTTTCTTCATTATCAAAAGCTGTACAAAACAACATGAAAACCCAACGATTGTGTGTTTCCACAGAGATCATCATAAACAAGATTTGTAAAGCTCCCCCGATTGCTGAGCCCAAATCACGCTGAAGAGTAGACCTTTCGTTGAGACCGTGTCGCTTGATGCAACCAGAAACCTAGGGGACCCACATGAGCACGAGTCAGGTCTTCCCGGTGGATTTTGGGCTGGTCTAAGTGGGCCACTTAGAATTGATGTCAGCCTGGAAATGGGGCCCAACCTTTTTGTGGAGATTGCCGCTGATGAAATTCAGTAACCTCGTTGACTGGCAGAAATGCTTGCTTAGGTTCCCATCCAATACACACTGAATCTTGCTGCTGGTTTCATAATTAGGAAATTATTCTGGGCTCAGCCGATTCCAACATTTTACAGATCCATCGGAATCTATGTTAGGAGGTGTATGTCTATGAGAGAATATTTGAATGTTAGTAAACTGTTGGAAATTGGAGTTTTCTCACCCTGGCATTGGGTGAAATCCGCTGAAGTAAGCAAACGTGAAGTTGGTGGCTCCAGCTTATCTTTTACGTACAAGTCGAGTTTGCTNGAAAAAAAAAAAAAAAAATAAATCATAAAAAGGACAACTATATTCATGTTGTATAAATATTAGTAATGCATAAGCAGATCAGAGGGAATTTTTACCATCAAGATATACTTCTTACGACGCAAAATCCACCCGACCAGCACTACTTCTCTTATACATACTTAAAATTTGAACCTAAAATGCCCATTAGCCTTCAACAAATCTATGAGTAAAACTGATAAACACGAAAAAATCAATCAGAAGGATTTCTCTTATCCCCGATGCTATGCGCAAACTCAGAATCTAATAACGATAAGAGATTCGACTTTATAAGTACATAATCTCCTACATGACCACTTCACGGTTTTATTTAACATCTATTGGCATACACCTTATACTCATAGCAAATGTGCAATCTTCTAGTATTCAGTAAGTCTAATAATAAAAGACCGTAAAGGCTAATAAGTTGAATTTCTTTAATTCAATTATTTTTTGCGACTCAACTAACATATTGAATTATTTGATGATCAATATAAGAATATTTCTGGCACTTATAAAGTAAGTATCCCACAGTAGTACTTCAATCAGATAGTTCACGTGACAGAAAGTTTGCATGCATTTAGAGATAAAATTGTCAAAATGTTATCAGTGATTCTTATTTAAAAAAAGAAAGAAAGATCAAACGCATCTTCAAATAGATTTAGAAACAACTCATTTGATTATGAAACAATTGGTTGAGAAAATTATAAGTAGCGTGACCGTCTTAATTAATAAGTCATTACCATACTCGTAACGACCAAGCTTCTTGTGTAGTTGGTCCTGTGTCCAACCAGATCTCTGAAGTACGACTCTTAAACCAGAGCACCTAGCATTCGCAAAAGAAAATATAAGCATGCATCAGAATGGAAGGATACGCCATGAATTTTCAATTTTCTAAATGGTCCCTAGAAAGGTCATTTCCTTCTGTATTATGCAAGGCGTACTCAAACACCTCAACTTTTGATATAAGAGGCAACTGATCAAAGTCAAGAGAAAAACTGAGCATTGATTTACGTTCATGATTTAAGCTGATCTGCAGAAACCAGAATAACATAAATAATTAAGAAATGGATCAGAAGATTATTTACCAATCCAAAGGGCCTCATATCTTTGGATAGACAGATCCTTTCACAATAGTTTTTCTTGAATTTGCAGAAGCTTATTTACCAATCCAAAGAGCTGGTATAGTAGCATTCAATAGTTGATAAATAATAGAAAGGCAATGAAAAAGCATTCAAATAATCACCAAACAATGGTAGTTGATAAGGTTTCGACTTTCGAATAATATTACTCTCAAAAGTCAAATTAACTTTGTATAAAACAAGGGTGGATGATTTAGCAATATGAGCGACATGATCATTGTGCAGTATTAGGCCGACATGATATGTAATCACTGCTAATCGCATATAATATGATTAGGTTTGGTAATCACTGCTAGAAAACATGACCCATTTATTTTATCCAACCTAAACCTGAAGCATCATAAACACAAACCACTATACGACTTCCCAGAACATAGACAATCTGGCCACAAACAGTACATACAGGCAACCATAAATATTTCTGCGACACTCGAACAGTCGGATATAAATATTTCAGAACAAAACAAACGAACAACAAAAAAGATCCTAAAATCTACCAGAAAACAAAACGAGGCTCAATTTGCGACATAAGCATTGAAGCTACATAGACAACCGTTACTCACTCAATCCAAGGCTGAAGCGGGTCTTCTTCGGTGTACTCGTCAATCGCCTTGATTAATCTCCTGATCATTCAAAGAATAAGAACACCAACAATGAATTCTCGGTAAACTCAATTAATCTGAAAATACATAAACTCACATAATAAAATTTTCAATAGAAAAACGAAAGGAAAAATCTGAAAATGGAAACCAAGAAATTGAGATCGATCAAGAACAAAGAGAAAGATGAAAAGAAATTCTATCTTACTTGTTGAGAATCTTCTCGACCAAGGGTTCGTCAAAGTTTAATCATCACCCTCATCGTTCGAACATGGTGTGGTAGTAGAGAAAAGAATCATTTACTTCTGGGTGGGGTGGCGGCGAGTGGAGATGAACGGAGTTTTAGTTTGGAGCTTCTCGAGACATCTGCCCTCAATTTAGTCAAAGCAAAACGACTCGTTGAAGTTAAGGTGCAATCAAACGACGTCGTTTCGAAACAAAAGTGGACACGTGGCGCTTAATGAGGGCAAGTACCTCCTTTTTATATATATAAAGAGAATAGATATTTTTTGTTTGGAGTAAGAAGATTAAGAGAAGATTATTAACTTTGTAATATAAATGAATTGTGATGTGGTAAAAAAAAATCATGATTTATTTTCTAAAAATTATAAAACAATGTGATTTAAAGAATAATAATTAATTATACTGTGACAGAAAAATATTAATAATGATTGATAATTTTATTATGTACTTGAATAAATTGTAACTCTTATAAATAAATCGAATATTAATATTGATTGATAATATAATTAATAATTGATTTTAANAAATTCAAACATAAGTAGTTATATATATGATCTATATATATAAAAGTTTGATTATTTTTTAAATAGTAACTATTTTCCTAAAAAAAAATCTATTTACTATTTCAAGAAACTAATTTAACAATTTATGGTATATTTCAAATAATCACTTATGGATATTGCGGCTCATTATTTAAGAAAATAATATAAGCCATAAAAAAATCATTTTTAAGATACATTAATTATTCAAATCATGTTAATTTAGGTGCGAGACGGTTACAGCTAGAGACGAGATGTACTTGGATTTAAACCTCGATGTTGAAGAAAACAGTTCGATTTGAAGCTGCCTCCGGAATTTCAATTCCACAAACACTTAACGACCAAGATAAATTCTTGAGTGACAAGTACCCGTAGGTAGTGCTGTAAACGAACTGAACCGAATCGAGTTTGGGCTGTTCGAGCTCATGTTCATTTACTTTCGAACAATTTTGTATTCGTTCGTTTATTTTTTGAGCTAAAAATCATGTTCGAGCTCGTTCGTTTAATTGTTCGTCAAAGTTCTAGTTCGTTCGTGTTCGAATAACTTAATACATAAACTTTTTAAATATGTTTGATTAACTCGAAATTTGTTTGTTTGAACTTGTTCGAATTCTAAAATAAAAAAAAATAAAATAAAAATATTTTAATATTTTATAATTTTATTAAAAATATTATGTAAATATATAAATAATAAAATAATATTCAGGAACATTATCGAACGTTCGCGAACGAGCTCGTGTTCGTTCAATTATTAAACGAGCCTAATTTTATGTTCGAACTCGGCTCGATTAACAAACAAACGAACTTTTATCGAACACCAACGAGCTTCTGTTCGCGAACGTTCGGTCCGTTTGCAGCTCTACCCGTAGGTAGGTGTCCTTTTCTATAAGTAGCTCAAGCGGCAGAGTAGTATATAAGCTGTCTTACTGAGTTTGATATCTCTGTCTTAAATATCATTTAGCAACAACTATTTGAGCCACAACCACTGGGCTGTTTTTTGACGAACAGAATGTGGTGATATCCACAGGACCACATACCTTCTTTGGGTCAACCAAAGAGTACTCACTATTCTACTATAAAGCCTTGTTTGTCTTGTATAACAGTTTCTGGTACGGTATTGCTTGACAAAAGAAAACCATAATGCTTTTGCCTTGTCTCTATAATATAATTTGACTACCCCAGGTAATTATTATTCGGGTAATGCATCAATTCAACTCATGAAAGCTTTCTTTTACTCGCCATTTTTTGTTAAATGACATNGCCATTGTACCTTGCTCCTTTTTCCCTCTTTCTATAAGATATTCTAAACGATTCTATTGCAATTATAAAACAAATGCAACAGCAACAGTCGATTACTTAAGCCTCTTCAGCTTCAAATCAATATCCCTTTCCTACGGATTCATTCTCACAACCACGTGTCAAAAAATGGCCATTCACAAGCTAAATGATATTGAGGCAATCCAAATGAAAAAAATAAACTGTGAATATTATCATATAACACTCTATCGAGTCCTTAGTCATATTATAACATTGTGCACGCACAAAATATATACATACAGAACAGAAGAACGACAAACTATTTTTTCTAGTTATTTACTGTGCATAATCAGTAGTAACTGCTAGCTAGACCTTGGGCTAAAAAGATGATGGTCTTTGGATGCTCTTTAAAAAGCCAGGGGCATAAAAGTATCATCGTCCAATAGACTCGAAATATCAATCAGGTCATCTCCAGGGTACATCAAGTCCTCCATGTTATCTGGGATCCCATCTGAAGCATCCTGAAAATGTAAAGCAACAAGGAAAATAAATTACGGGAACCTTCTTCTCTGATTAATTATTAAATAAATAAGAGACAAAAACGTGCCAATGACTATTATATGCAGATCGAGTATGGAATAATGTATCCACACAATGGTTTAGGCTGCTTGTTAACAATCAGCATACTTCAACCATTCATATATATATATATATATATATATATATATATATATTATTGGTAACATTTTTGTCCAAAAATTCATCTTCAATTCCTCATACTATTACAGAAAAACTTAATATATCACACACATTGACCTTTGTATTTTCACAAACATACACCACCCTTGCTGATAGTGTAATTTGTGAATAGAACAATTTGTAGATGTAATGTAATTAACTCAAACAACAAGGGTACAAAAAGAAAAAGTAGAATTTTGAAGCCAATTTGTGTGATAAACCTTTCTTCTAACACCACGTGCCAAACATCTCAAAAGCTATGGAAATTCGCATGATACGCGTGAGTTTTACCCAGAACGTGCGTAGTGTTATATACTGACATTACCAAAAACACAATTTTTTTACCTTACTTTCACGGAAGACTTCACCAGCAGTTAACAGCCTACGGTACTGAGCTCTTGCTTCAGGATATTGAGCCATGGACTTCACTCGGGCAAGTGCTTTCTGCATCCTTTGTTCACTTTGTTTTCTTCCTTCCTTCAGATAGTCATAATCATCTTCAGGTGGCGGCAAGCTGTTCCCCTCGTTCGGCTCTTTTTGGATTCCATCTGGTCGAAATCCACGAAGCCCAGTGCCTTTACGTCTCCAGCGCAAAATCACCTTCTCCAGTATTCCCACTGACCAGATAATAGGCTTATACTTCTTTCGAGCCTGGTGACCTCTTACATGAGCCTTAAAAAGAGAGACAAAGTAAGCTTCATATGGATGTTAGCATCTTCGAAATAAAATTAGCCTTGTAGCACAAACGAGAGAGACGATGTTCGCACTCGGACATACAATAGATTCGGAAAATACTGAAGAAGCATCATTTACTGAGTAGTTGATCTTTTGTCGGTGAGATATTGAGGCCTACATTTTGCTCCCCTTAGGTAATTTGGCAAATTAAGAAACATGACTGGATATTTAAGGGATATTTAACAACTAACCTCAAAGGT